CAACACCCTCCGACTAGGCAACGGCAAAAAATGTGTTTCTTTTCAGATTTTTGGTTATTTCGTTTTGCGAGATTCAGGTCCGAAAGTCAATTTGTTTCGTTATTCGGATTCGGCCGAATCAGAAATTTTCGAACTAATTTACGAACTAATTTTTGATGCAGCGAATTGACATTAGAAAAAAAAAATATTTCTTTTATTTTTTGACAGTCCACAATAGAGATAAAAAATGTGGGGTCCAACCCCAAATGATACCAGACCTTAGGTTTGGTAGGAATTTTAGGGGGGACTCCAAGGCCAAAAAACAAAAAAAAAAGGCTGGGGTCCCACTTAAATTTGCTTACCAGACCCTTAATCCGAGCAGGAAAGGGGGGGACCCACATAATGAGTCATTATGATAGCTCTGCTCCTGAATGTCAACAGAGGGGCAGAACAAGTCCTGTGACATCACGACTCATTCCCTCCCCTTGTGTACATTCGGGTCAGAGCTGTCATTTTGTGGCGAGAGTTCGTCGGGATCCGCTGTATCGGCAGCCAGCAGGCAGCGTACGTGAGTCACCATACGTCATCCATCGCGATTGATATGGATCTACATCGCTGGGCAATGTGATTATTGTGTGGATTACATCGATGGACACTTTGTTGAGTTTCTTTTTTTTTTTTATTTAATAAAGGGCTTGTCAAAAACCTATTTGGTGAATGAGTAAGGGTAACAACTACCCCTAACTCATTTATGAGGAGTGGGTGGCATCTGGATGCCCCCTTTATAAAAAAGGGGGCACCCAGATTCAGATAAGCTCCCTTGCCCACAGACCCCTACAACCCTGGCTCAGTGGTCTGCGGGCAAGGGGACTTATCTGAATCTTTCATCAACATGGGAACAAGGTGCATTTCCAGGGGGTACCCCCCTGGCAAATCACCCTCACCATGTTAATGGCATGTGGCCTGCTATGGTGCAGGAGGGGGGGTGTACGCTTGCCATCCCCCCCCTTTCCTTCTCTGCCAGGCTGCTGCTCAGATTAAGGGACTGGTAAGATATTTTTTGGGTGACCCCATATATTTTTTTTGGTCTTGGGGTCCCCCCTTAAAGTTCCTACCAGACCTAAAGGGTCAAGTATGAATTGGGAAGAGGGACTCCATGCTTTTTTTTTAATTATTTTTATTTTAACGTTTAACAGCAAAAATTATTTCCGAATGACATTCGGAAAAAATTTCAGATGCATCCGAATTTCTTTATTGGAAAATTCGGATACGTTCGGATTCGTTATTTCTTCCATAAGGAAATTCGGATGCATCAATTTCTGAAAATTTGTACGAATTTCAATTCGGAAGGAAATGAGACGCACATATCTACCTCTGACTACACCCCCCAGTCCCTGCTGCACTTAGCTGCTTAGATGACAGTTTGCTGCCCACACCAAAGGACCACGCACTTCACTAAAACTTCACTACACAGCCCACAGCATCATCATGCTGGCAATAGCTAGTGGTCATTGCTCAGCACGGCAGGCCGACAGCGCACACAGCAAAGTATGTTATCTAAGCAGCTAAGTACAGCATGGACTGCCGGGACAAGGGGGGAGGGTGTTATGAGTTGGTCCACCTTTTAATTTCTTTGTGAAAAGGCACACAAGCTCTTTAAGGCCCCCTTCTAATGATGTATTGTGTTTAAAAAAATTGTTGTAAAAAAAAAAAAAGTAAAGCCAAACCTTTTTTTCGGCTTTACTTCTCTCTGTGGGGGGGCAGTAAAGCTGCGTGGTTGATGCGTGGTTGATGCGTGGTTTTACCGCAGCTGCACAGTGCTGCGTACATTGTCGTGGCACTGGCCATGATCCTTTACATCGCACGGCGAAAAGCATACAGCATGTAGCATTTGACAGGCAGTGCAGCTTGCCAAATGTGGCAATTGAAATGAATGGGACCCATAGTTGCAGTCAGAGGCATAATAAGTGACCTCAGGGCCCCGGTGCAAGAATCCATGAAGGCCTCCCCCCGAAGAAAAACATTAGATACTTAAAAAAAAAATCCAAAGCAAGCCCCCTTCTCTTCCATGTCCCCAGCTTCCCCCCTTCTTGTCCCCAGCTTTCAGCTCCCTGACCCCACACTCTTCTCTCACATGTCCCCTTCATAATCACAGCTCCCTATAACTCCCTCTTGGTGTCAGGAGCACGCCTGTGACACCCAGGGAGTTGGAGCTTTCCATAGAACACAGGCTGTTCTATGGTCAGCAGTCGTTCTGTGTGATGAGGGGGCGGGGATAACCCGCTGCCCACTCATTGGCTGCTGCGCCAGCTCGATCATTCTTCAAGCTGCGCCCGAAACAAGGTGAGGGGAGCAGCGTGAAGCATGAAGGGCCGAGGACAGGAGGAAGAGGTCCCGGTACTGATATTAGCAGTTACTACGGGCCCCGTCCTCTGGTCCTGGGCCCCCTCTAAAGCGCACACTGCCCGTTCAGCATTGCAGTCATCGGAAGCCCGCTTTCGATGATCGCAAGTATGATCTGCCTGTCTAAAGGTGGCCATACACTTTACAACCATCGCAAGACCTTAGTCTTGCGATGGTTGTAAAGTACTTAAAAAAACGTACGATCTGCCCATCTTGGACAGGCAGATCGGGCGGGCTTGTAAGCACGGCAAACGGGCAGTGTGTGCGTGCGCACACCAGCCCGTTCGTCAGTTGTCCAACAAGCAGGCCACTCACTCGCCGAGAATCGTACGATTCCCGGCGGGTTTTCCAGCCTGCTTGTTCGATGGAAGACGTGCGACCGTACAGTAGAAACGGTTGCACGCCTTCCATACACTGTACGATTCTCGTACGATCGCGGGATTTCCCGCGATTCTCGTACGAGAATCGTACAGTGTATGGGCACCTTAAGATGAGCAGATCGTAGAAGCTTTTAATTAGCTTACAACCATTGTCTTGCGATGGTTGTAAGGTGTATGGGCACCTTGAGTGGCGGAACTCCAGTGCCCGGTCGCAGTTGCGGCCTCTGCGACCCTGGTAGTTCCGCCACTGGTTGCAGTGTAGTACCTCTAAAGAAAATCCTACTGGGTGTACAAGAAAAAAAAACCCTGCATTCAGCTGGCGGCAGTGTCACCTCCTGAATGCCTGGCAGCCACTGCTGCCCGGCATCACATGGGGTCCCTCCTCAATATTCCTACCAGACCTTAAGGGTCTAGTATGACATTGAGGGGGAACTCCACACACTTTTTTTTTTTTTTACACGGGGTCCCTCCTAAATATTCCTACCCGAACTTAAGGGTCTGGTATGACTTTTGGGGGGTACCCCATGCTTTTTTAAAAAACATGGGCTCCCTCCTAACATTCCTACCAGACCTAAAGGGTCTGATATTGTTTGGGAGGGGGAACTGCACGCTTTCAAAAAAAAATGTCATTTTTTTTTTCTTTAGAAATGTCAGTTTTGCTGCAGCAGGTTCTATACATTGTACAGATGTGCCACTTTACAGGCAGGGTAAGGGGACCCCACAGGCACGATATTTAAAGGAATTTTTCATTTTTATTGTTTCACTTTAAGCAATGTTAAAATCACTGCTCCTTTAAAAATTGTATTTTTTTTAAAGTTTTTCTTTCATTGATTCATGTCCCCCAGGGCAGTACCCAAATCCCCATACCCTTGTTATGGCCAATAACTTGCATATATACGTCCTCTGACAATTGTTTTTGAAAGTTCTACCCCCATTGACATCACGGGGGTGTTCGGCTCATCACTACTGGTGTATGGCCAGCTTTAGTATTCTGCATTGCGCCTCTTTTCCTGGTGCCCACATAGACACAGATTCCATCCATATTCATGTTTCCTGTGTGCACAGGACATAAAAGTGCTGACTGGAGACTGCAAAATATATTGTAAAACACAACGGGGTTAATTTATCAACACTGGAGCAGACAGAATCTGAAGCAATTGTGCATAGTATCCAATCAGCTTCTATATTTTATTTTCAAAACTTAAAGTGGTATTAAAGTCTCCTTTTTGTGTTACATATATCTACTGCTAGCAAGTAGTAGATATATGCCCCAATATTTTTTTTTTTAAATGTAAAAAAAGTTGCAAATTAAGTAGTAACTGACCTGTGTCTGCGCCGCTCGCTCCCGGGCTGCAGAACGCATCTTCCCGAACGGCCGTGCAGGAGGAAGTGTGTGCGGGCGCATGCACACTCGATATCACAGGAGGGGAGAAGCACGCAGCTGGAAGCATACACCACGCAGGACAGACCCCATGGTAGACAGGAAGACATAGGAGTCTGCGCTGGATCAGAGAGCAGCACCAGCGCTGGAGGGACTGTTGGAAATGAGTAGAAGGAAGATGTTTGCATCAACAGGCATCACTTAAGTAAGTACTTAAAGCAGCATGGGTTGGGCCTTCAATGTCACTTTAACATAAGTTTAACTGAAGCGAGAAATTGGTTCCCTCATTGGGGGAGTATACTAAAATTGGAACAGCCAGAATCTGGTGCAATTGTGCATAGTATCCAATCTATCTTTCATTTTCAAAACTTAAAAAAAAAAGCTGATAGGTTGCTATTGGCAACTGCTCCAGCTTCTGTTGGCTCCAGTGTTGATAAATCCCCCCCCCTCCCATTAGGGGGAATATACCAAAACTGGAGTAGACAGTATCTGGAGCAGTTGCCCAGAGCAACCAATCCGCTTCTATCTTCAACTTGTCCAGTTAGGGTATGAAAATTAAAGATAGAAGCTGATTGGTTGCCATCCATAGCCTCTCCACATTTAGTTTACTCCAGATTCCACTCTATGCTCCTAGCTTCAAGGGCATTCGTACTTGTAAACTGTATACATTCTTATTCTGAATTTGTTTTACAAACAGAATGTAACGTTTCATCAGCTACACACACACAACCTATTTGTAGATGAATAGGTGTACACAGACAATATCAGCCAGCACGTGCTTATAGTATTATGCAATCGTCAACCTTGACTTTCACTGTGTGGCGCTCTGGCCCGCCCCCTCCCCGGCTCTATGGTAGGCTCGGTACGCATGCGCAGTGCGCTTTGAAGTCTTGTGACTGGCACAGTTGTCAAGATGTGGCGGATATCGGGGTTCCTGGGAAGGGGTAAGTGTGACGGGCCGGGGGAGACATGTCACTTGTCAGGAAGCTGGGGGGGGTCTTTAACCTAGTATAGATAGTAGCATTCTTGTACTGACCTTCTCGAATCACATTCCTTTATAGTGACGGTGTGAGAGTACCTGTCGTCCATAATACACAGCCTATACAGAACTTACGGGAAGTGTATAACGCTGGCCATACAGCACTGTACGATCGCCTAACTTTACCAGAACGATATATTATGAGAACACTGCTAAACAATCCATGCAATAAGAATCAAATCACGAAGGACCTGTACTACCTAATTGATGCTAAATCTAACCCTCACCACACACTTTACAATCTGATTGTACAATATTCTTTAGATCTCCCAACAACTTTGTAGTGGCAGGGCCAACCTGACTGTGTGCAGATTGATTTGATAGATTAGGCAGGTCCTAATATTAAATAGTTTTTGAGTTGATTGTGCAAAGATTGTATGGTCAGATTGTCATGTGCGGTGACTATAATGTATAATTAGATTATGTAGTGTATGGTCAGCCGTGCACAGGTCGTTTTTCTTGGTGAACGTTCATACAAAATCTCTGGTTGGAACTTTTGATAATCCCATCATAGACTTGATGAATGTCGTTGGAAATAAAGTTTGATTTTTAACATCCGATTTTGGAATGAATGCAGCGTTTTCATTCGATATTCGTAAGGCTGATGGGCAGTGTACAACCGCAAATACTGTACAATCGATCGACTCGTGTTCGCAAGCGCCTCGTGCCGAGCCCGCCAGGAAGCCAATCACAGGCACTGAGACATGTTCCCGGTCCGCAGCTGCAGAGATCGGGAAATGTCTCAGTGTCTGTGATTGGCCCTTCACGCTGACGGCTTCACGGCGGGCTCGGCACAGGCGCTTGCGAACACGCCCGAGCCCATCACTACTAACCAGCAGGTTAAAAAACTTTGGTCGATCGTACGATTTTCGCAAAGTTGGTGGCGTCTCCGTACGTCAAAATTTGTATGATTTATACAGCTCGTGCGCAGACGAAAATACGTGCGGCCGATTACCGCAGTTCGTCCAGTTGCTTTTTTTGTAATTTACTGCAGATTCAACCTTGCGATAATCGGGGCAGGATGGGACCGCCGTATGAAAATCGTACAACGGTTCGATCATTGAACCAAAAGTTTTGTCCGATGATCGCAAGGTGTATGGGCAGCTTGAAGCTGGCCATACACCTAAAGATTATCTGCAGACTTTCTGTGGTCAGATGGAAAAAGTGCAACGGATTCCTCCATCTATACTAAACCGTGGGTGAGTGGAATTTCCCGCTGGGCCAAGCTTCAGTATCTTGCTAGTCGGCACTGCTGGCTGTCAATATACCTGAACAATCTGATTGGGTGCAGGCATTGTTCTGGTCTTTTGACAGGCCGCGGTGCCGACTAGCAAGATACTGAAGCTGACGGCATTCATTGTTTGTGCGGCTGGGAATTAGGAACAAAGTTTTCTTATCAATGTACCTCTGTAATGTCGCCAGGCAGACAGTTCAGTCCGGTGACATTATTGGTGATGCTCGATAAGCCTTTACGTATTTCGGTTTAGTATCAGGTCTCCCTTTATTCCCTTTTTGTTTAAGCAAATAGTTTTTTGTAAATCTGTTGCAACATTTTTTTACTATGAAATCCTGGTATTAAAGCACTTCCGGTTACAGGCTGACAACGCTAAACCATGAAACCACTAAACTACCAACTAAAATTAGTAGAGGTGCACTGAAATGAAAATTTTAAACCCGAAAATTAAAAAAAATGTCAGACCGAAAATATTTGTTTGCTGGTGGCTTCGGGGAAATATTAGAGGTCTAAACAGACCCCTGATATTTCCCTTTTTAAAATAGAAAAAGAGATTGAGAACACAGAGCCCTATATGTCTTTTTCTGCAGCCCCAGTTATAAATGAACAGGAAGCCTCTATACTAAGTGTTCCTGTTCATTCATAACTTGTGGAGATAGTATGTTTACCAGGTACACAATTATGAATGAACAGGAAGTGAGTGTATGTTAGAGTCTCTTCGGAAGGGATCTAAATGATTTTTGAATTATTCAATATTCTCTGCTGATACCACTGCTTGTGGAAGACAATTTCAAAATGTAACCGCTCTAACTGAAAGCCCCTACACCATTGTGTGGTAAAAGCTGGCCAACAATCTGATTGGATGCAGGCATTGTTCAGGTATTTTGAGAGCCAGCGGGGTCGACTAGCAAGATACTGAATCTTGGCCCAGCGGGAGATTCCTCCATCCACACAGTTCATCTGACCATAGAAAATCTGCAGATAATCTAAAGGTGTATGGCCAGCTTCAATCTTTCTTTTCTCCACCAATTTTAGGTGGTGGCCTGTTACACGGGCGATCATTGGGAGGAGGTCCATGTTACACGGGCGATCATTGGGAGGAGGTCCATGTTACACGGGCGATCATTGGGAGGAGGTCCATGTTACACGGGCGATCATTGGGAGGAGGTCCATGTTACACGGGCGATCATTGGGAGGAGGTCCATGTTACGCGGGCCGTCATTGGGAGGAGGATTGCGTTACCCGGGCGGTCATTGGGAGGAGGACCGCGTTACCCGGGCGGTCATTGGGAGGAGGACCGCGTTACCCGGGCGATCATTGGGAGGAGGTCCATGTTACCCGGGCGGTCATTGGGAGGAGGACCGCGTTACCCGGGCGGTCATTGGGAGGAGGACCGCGTTACACGAGCGATCATTGGGAGGAGGTCCATGTTACCCTGGCGGTCATTGGGAGGAGGACCGCGTTACCCGGGCGGTCATTGGGAGGAGGACCGCGTTACCCGGGCGGTCATTGGGAGGAGGACCGCGTTACCCGGGCGGTCATTGGGAGGAGGACAGCGTTGCACAGGCAGGTGGTGGTGGGAGGAGGACCAAAATCTCCTCAATGGCAAAAAAAAAAAGCTGACCTTGATTAGATTAGACTCCTTTGAGATTGCAGTTAGACTGGAAAGGTGTGTTTTAGATCCTCTATATATTTATATACATTGCAGTAGCGTGACTATTACACAACAGGTGTTTTCCCTTTATCTAGAGCTGCTCTAGTTTAAAGAGGAAATACAATTTAAATAACATTCATCAGCGTGAGCTAATATTATCAAACAAGCTTTTCCGTCTGTCTCTTTCTCAGGGAAAAGGTAACGAATTGGTTACTATACACAGGCATCAGGCAAGCACATTAAACCATGCGTTCAGGAAGTGATGGCTCTCATTTGAGATTAATAACCAGTCTGAGATCTGTTCTTGTTGACATTTAAATAGAAATAAAGAATGTGATCAGGGCTGCAACAACTAATTGATAATGATCCTCCTTGTTGATTCCGATTACATGATTCAGCGCCCAAACACTCATCCGGCCCACAAACTCCTCAGCTCTGCTTAGCCACAACCCAAAGCCCCCCTTCCCCACTTTTTCCTCCTCCACTCTGTGTAGCCACTCCTAATCCCCCCGCCGCTGCGTCCTCAACTTTGCAGCCGCTTCTCAAACCCCCCGCCTCATCTTCAACTTTGTGCAGCCGCTTCCCAGTCACCCCCGCCGCTGCTGTGTCCTCACCTCTGTGCAGCCGCTCTCTCCCAACTGCAGGCTTTGTCACTGGTGACTTCTGTGAGAGAGAGATGGAGATGCCAGAGAGGGGGTGGGTTAGAAGGCGCGCTGCTGGACGATCGGAGAGGCTCTGTGTTATTGGGTGTGTGCAATGGCCAGTCTGCTATTGCAATACAAGAAAGCAACAAGCAACTGACTTTTTAGGCCATGTGCTTGAATAGCTCCATTGAAGTGGAAAGGTGACCCAAGGGTCATGTCACCGCATGTCACCTCCAATGTGCTATGGGGACTAGGAAGTTGCTTGTTGCTAAGTTTGTTGCTTTCTTGTATTGCAATAGCCATTAACAGACTGGACATTGCACACACACTGCCTCCGAGCCTCTCTGATCGTCCAGCCGCAATGCGTCCTGACCCGCCACCTCTCTGGCATGTGATGGCAATAAAGATAATAATTTTTTTTTTTTTTTTAAAGATAAACAAAACACCCAAACAAAATGTCAAGTTAGGTCATAGGAAAAGTGTCATAGGAAAGAAAATGTAAATGGCACCCCAAACAAGCTTTGCGCCTGCAGTGCGGTCACCTGCATTGGAACGCCTGCAATCGCCTGCATTGGAACAGTGTGGTGCGCTTGCAAAAAATTGTGCATGCAGTTTTATTCTGAAATAAACTAATGAAGTGAAATAAAATACATTTTTGTTTCTAAAACCCAATGTGTGCATTTTTTTTTTATTAAATAAAAGATGGTATTTAAATATTTTTTTAAATCCGATTAATAGAAAAAATTATCGGACGACTAATAGGTTATGAAAATAATCGTCAGTTGCAGCCTTAAATGTGATGCATGAACACATTAAAAGCAAGTGTACATTGCTGCACACATTCCAATTGGAACACTGCATTCCAGAGTCTTCAAAAATATTTTACACATGTCCAAATGAGAATACAAAACATCCGTGTGAACGAGCAATTTGTCTGGATGTATCCATTTATGTCTGTGATGCCAATTAAAAATGTCTGTTGATTCCTAGGCTGCAGTAAAGCCCATGTTATGCTTGTAAGAAATTAAACAGATGCTAGCTGCACCCCTCACAGCTCTCTGTCCGATAGGAATGGATTTGGGTGCTCGAAGTGACCACTATGGATAGCGCCATGCAAATACTCAGCAGTGTAGAGGTAGTTCACCAGCACTCAATTGGTTAAAGTGCCAATAGTAGTTGTGTTATTGAAGAATATTGTTACGTAGGTTAGAATGCCAACGTTTAAGGGCCTTGCAGGGTTCCTTCATCAGGGCTACACTCGCTGTGTTTGTTTCCCTCATGAAGGAACCCTGCGTGGCCCTGAAACGTTGGCATTCTAACCTATGTGACAATATTCTTCAATAACGCAACTACTATTTGCAGTTGAACCAATTGAGTGCTGGTGACAATTCATAGACGAAGATCTGCTTTGTACGTGTCACTCCCTCGCTGCCTTCTGACGCGAGGCGTTGCGCCCTTACTGACAAAAATGCTGGCAAACCTAAATCGCCAGCAAGCGAGAGCTGACTCACTCCTCCAGCCAGGAAGGAAGCGGAACATGCAAGCAGGTGAATGTTTTCACTGCCTGCATGTGTCCTCCAACGCGATTCTGCTGTTGGTGAATTGTTCCCAGCTACAGGCGTGCAAGGGTAATGCAGTTCCGGGCTGTACTCAACACAGCATTGTGACCAGTGTATCTTGATGGTGCCGTCCAATGCCATAGAAGAAGAGGAAATATCACCAGCACCCAATTCAGCATCAGAAATGAAAGTGATTTTATTTGTGCCAATTCACATGGGCCAGGAACAGCCAACGTTTAGGGGTCTTGAAAGTAACATTGGCTATTTCTGATGGTGAATTGAGGGCTGGTGATGTCTCTTCTTCTACTCCAGGATCACTAGTGTAACATAGCTCTTAGTGAGTCCAATACTCTGTAATGATTTGACAAGTGCAGAAATTTGGTAGAATATTCACACATGGCACAAACAAAATGTTCTATGCCTTGGGGGGAAATTGTCTAGTGAAATGTCACAAGTGATCACTGATCACACAGAGCAGACGTAGAATGCACGTTCTTCCCCCTGCTCTACACTCTATACTGACACTCTATACTGAGCCGTTGTGCTGTGCTCCTGGATCCCCCAGAAGAGCGAGGGACCCTGAAAACCGCGGCGGGGGCGGACAAGATCACCGCTGTTCGTTTCATACAAGTGATCTGATCAGAACCTGCCCTCCAACACAGAACAGATGTTTTGTGCAGTTCCTGAAAGCTGAGACAGGTGGCGCTGTGATAACAGCGTTCCGGTCTCAGTGATTACACAGAGCAGAGCTCTACACTGTCTATGGAGCAGGGGACCCCAAAAACCACGGCGGGGGGGGCCCGGACTAGATCACTGCTCGTTTTATACAAGTGACCGGATGAGATCACTTGTATAAAAACGAGTGGTGGCTTCACTCTGCTTGGCCGAAGTAGGACTAAATGTACAGAAAAACTACTTGCCTGGCGCCCGAAACTGCATGTCCCTGGCGTCGGGCGATAGAAATTCCATACCCCTGTACTTGTGTCCCTTACACTTAGGGTGCCAATTATCCACCTAAACTCTCAATCCTTTTTTTTTTTTATCTAATATTGAATCGAGATCAAACAAATATACATTGTCCAGCAAAATATTTCTTTAAAATGTTGACCAAGAACTTAGTCATCTTGTTCCCTACAGTGGCATCTGACCTCTGCGCTGTGCGTCACTCTGCACTATGTGTCACTCTGACCTCTGCGCTGTGCGTCACTCTGACCTCTGTGCTGTGCATTATACTGACCATTGTGCGTCACTCTGACCTCTGCGCTGTGCGTCTCTCTGACCCTGGCCTGTGCGTCACGCTGACATCTGCGCTGTGCGTCACGTTGACCTCTGCGCTGTGCTTTACACTGACCTCTGCGCTGTGCATCACTCTGACTTCTGTGCTGTGCGTCACTCTGACTTCTGCGCTGTGCATTACATTACGGACCTCTGTACTGCTGACTTCTGTACTGTGCGTCACACCGTTGAACTGGCGGAGTTAAGGCCGGGGCAGGGTAGGGGTTAGGTGGGGCAACTGGTGGCGAGTAACTTTTAAGTCCTGGCTAGTAGCTCAGGACTTGAAATTTTGAGCCCTGGTGTAGTGCATTAGGCTGTGTAAACTAATATTCAATTGATGTAATACATAGCACTTCAACCACCAGTATCCACCAGAAAGGTGTCGGGGAGCTTGGTTCAGCAGGCTCAGGCTAATAGGTAATCATGTGTGCACAGCTAAATAAATATACCAAAATGGAATAAAGGGGCCGCCATTCACACCCTTCGTGATCTACCAGCATCAGCTTTGAGAGCTACTGGTAGATCACGATCTACCTAATGGGCACCCCTGTTCTAAGCCATGGCAGCAAAACAGGTCTCATTATTCTTGCACAGGATCTTGTTTACATGCTTCGTAAATGCTGGCTGAGCATAATGCTCATCATACCAGAATTTACATTATAAAGGGGAGATAGAAATATTTTGTGTAACAACATCAATCCTGCTATATGTTTCTGTTAGCTGATTGTATGTAACATTTTTTTCTGCTATGAACATACACAAAATCAGGTACAGGTAAACACAATTGCTCAGGGATTTCCAGCTTTAAAATATGTTTCTGGGAGATAAGAGTTTGCGATCTCTTGTGTCAAAGTCCTTTTCCTGCTTTACTAACAAGATCTTAAAGGAGAACTATGAGGAGTGCTTTTCACTCACCTCATAGTTCTAGCCGACCTGTGACAATGAGACTGTCACAGGTCGGCTCAGTAGATCGGGAGGTGAGCGAACACATACCGGCGTTCGCTCACCTCTCAATCCTGTCACGGCTCTCTGCCGTGACAGTGGAGCGGCTGGATTCCCCCCTCCCCGCTCCGATCCGCCAGCGCTGACTGGCGGAACGGACGGGGGAGGGGGCGGGTACAGCTGGCTCTGCCTCTAGATAGGCAGAGCCAGCTGTCAGTCACGCAGCTGGGCGGATCCAGACATAATTGTCGGGATCCGCTTTAGCTGCGGCGTCTTGGTATACCGCGAGTTGTAGCTGGCGGTATACTGAGCCTAGGGTGACGAGAGGACGCTAGTTTGTGTCCTCCCGTTACCCTAAGGAGAACTATGTGGAAAAGCCTTAAAGGAGAACTATGAGGTGAGTGCTTTTCACTCACCTCATAGTTCTAGCCGACCTGTGACAATGAGACTGTCACAGGTCGGCTCAGTAGATCGGGAGGTGAGCGAACACATACCGGTGTTCGCTTACTTCTCGATCCTGTCACGGCTCTCTGCCGTGACAGGAAGGGGCTGGATTCCCCCCCGCTCCCGGCTCCAATCTGCCAGCGCTGACTGGCGGAACGGACGGGGGAGGGGGTAGCTAGCTTTGCCTCTGGATAGGCAGAATAACTACTGAAAAGTGTGAAACTCATTAACACATTGTATTTATTTCCTGATTGTTTTGGCACCGTCTCCCGCCTCATAATCCTTAGATGGATGACCATCTGTACCAAGTTTGTAATACAGCACAATGGAGGATCAGTACCAGGGCAATGTTCTTCCTATATAATTACTCTACCAGAGCCGTCTTTATATGGTTTATACAATTAATAGTTTATACTTTACAGGACTGCCATTAAATCATGGGCATTAAATATTTACAGCCATATGGCGTATCCTATGTGTCTCTTGCAGAAGAGAGACCTTTTCTGCTGTTTATGGAGGTGCAGAGTAATTGTGATATGAAGGTCAGGGCTTGTGTTATGGCAGTGTACACTTCAAGGGAAAGCACAGTGTTTTATTATTGTACTTCACATATAGATGTTGGTGCTGCCTTTTAGTGGTTCTCTCTGTTGTGGGGAGTTTGACCTGTTGATATGAACTACTTCTAAGTAAATGAGCTTATTATATTCCAACAAGTCAGACCTGACCTGTAGGCTTGCACCAAAATAAAGTCTCAATAACGTACAGTCACAGTACAGAATTACAAAGCAGGAAACAATGTCTGCTCTTGTCACTAGCTGCCCCCTTTTAAATATATATTTAAAAGCTATAGGAATGCAATTGATAATAATCAAACGGCCAACTAATCAAAGTTTTTAAAACATAACACCCTTTTACGCTATGGCTTCTACAGACTTTTCCTCCACACTGTCCACACTGAGGAACAGACTTTCAGTTACAGGGACAGGAGGAAGTGTCAATGGACTACACATGTAGTGACATGCACTTGTACTCTGTTGAAAATTACAAGTCCCTCTGCCACAGTGGAAGATGGGAGTTGTAGTCTCTCCATTTATCCTGTTAAAGGATCTGTTAATGGATGAAGCCACTGTGCAGGGAGAGCCACACACAGCCACGCCAATTTCAGATATATATAGGATACTGCAAGCATAAGAACCCCGGGATTCTGGAAAGGGGGGAGTCATTTGGTGGGTGTTGGGCTGCAGATGTAACCATGTATTTCCTGAATACGGGTGCAACATGAAACATGGTCAGATAGTAAGTCTTTAACATTTATAAATGTGTCTAATATAACCAGCAAACGTCAGATTTTCTTTTTAGACTTTCAATAAAATGTATAAAAACAAGAGGAATGATAGTTCTTCATGAAAGCGGAGAACCTGCCTGTAGTTACCAGTCAAATTCCTTATTTAATTTTCTCAGCTAAATAAAGATGAAACCTGATCAGTCACTATGGGAAGGTTCTTCAGTTTCGGGAAAATATGTTTTCACTCCACGTTTATAAGAAAGGCCCCTATGTTGCCAATTGTGTACAGTTTACATGAATAAGTTGTGTACAGTTTACATGAATAATATATTTTTCCTTCCAGCCCTGAACCGCTGTCATGCTTCCAACATCCAGGGATGTGTCCATGGAGAGACTGAAGCTTTAAATCCCTCATCTTTGATTCCGCTTGGTCAGAATGTAGGTAGTAAAAGGTAAGTTAAAAATATAGATGTTCTTAAAGAATACCTGTAATAGACTAGGGACTAGGGTTGCACAGATACCAAGTACAGTACTCGGTACGAGTACATGTACCGATACTTTTGAGCTCCAAGACTACACTAGAGAAAAATTCAAAAATTAGGAGGCAGCTGTCATTTGCAAGGAGCACACGGAGCTCCCGGGATTTGTACATCTCTGTTTTAATGTACGATTTTGTTTTTATAAATATAAATAAAGGGATGCACAGATACCAGTTTTGCCAGTACTGGTACTTGCCGAGTACTTACGAGTACTGATACATTTTTGTTTATTGTCATGTGACAGTTTTTCTAAAACAATACAGACTAATGATTTCCGGACAGTGGTGGAGTGCCAGAGCCAGGTCCCAGCTGCAACCGCTGCATCCCTGGTAGTTCTCATGAAAATGCCAAGTATCTGCACTGGTACTTGAAAAGTATCTGTGCATCCCTACAGGGACTTCCATATGTATGTAAGTGCCAGTACCTACCTCCTGTTTTCTTGGCTGGCTCTGCAGTGTGTTGCTAGACCCTTTCACATTATCTATGGAAATGCAGACTTTAACCCCTTCATGACTGAGCTTGTTTTTAGTTTCTGTTCGTAAATGACTGACACACTTTTGACATTTTTGATCAGAACATAGGCATGCAACTCCATCCCCTTCCTGTAGGTTCTTGAGGCTCTGACATTTGCATTGTGCAATACAGATTGGACCTTGAACTATGGGATTGCTCTAGTGATTCTGCCATTAAAATGGGGATTTGTACTGGTACTTTAAGCCACCTGCTTTTCTATATGTTTTTCTACTTTTTTTATGCTTTGGCTTTAAAGAGAAGCTGTCACCTTGTCCATTCACCAACACAGTGCCAGCTATCTCCTAGGCAGTCTCTTCTTATTGTTTTGACATGCAGTTTTTACTGCAGCTGACCTCTGATTAAGCATTTATTTCTATGTTTAGTTTGATTTGCAATTTTTATGGCATGTTTACTTTAACCCCTTAGTGACCAGTGATGTCCATAGTACGTCACTGGCAGCAGGCCCGTTTAAACTATGGGACGTTCTATGGGACCGGGAGCGGTGCATATTGCATCACTTCCGGTCCCATAGCTGTCATTACTCGGCTCCTGAAGTCCATCAATAAACTATTGAAGGGCAATCTGCACCTCAATAGCTTATTGTAAGCTTATAAGTGTAAAGGTGATACTAGGGGGTCTTTGGACCCCCAGTATCACCTTTAAAGAGTACCCATCACCACCGATCTGCTATCATATGAGGGGCTTGTAAGCCCCCGTATGTGATGGCAATTAAAGTAACAAAAACAACAATTTTTCAAAATAATATCAAATTCAATTTTTAACGTAAACATGCATCGGATGCGCCTTACGTATGAAAACAACGATCGTGCCACACATGTTGGGTATCGCCGCACACGCCAGAGTGAGAGCAATAATTTTAGGGCCAATATTTATGTGCATTTCAAAACTCATGACCTGTAGGAGCTTTAAAAGCGTTGTGTCTGGACTTATTGGGGTATTGAATTTTGTTGCCGTTTCACAGACGCACACAATTTTTAACCTAGACCATGTTGGGTATCTAATTACTCATTGTAACCTCATCTTTTATATTTTGTTAACAAAATGGGTATTTTATTGTTTTTTGCAGCACTAACTTTTAACTTGAGTGCATTTTTCACAAAATTTTTGGGTTTGATAATACGTTGCGCTAATATCGCGCAAATAAAAATTTGCAACAGCTACCAATATATAATGTTTAGGGGTTTGAAGTAATTTTCAGGCCTAAAATGTGGATTATAACATGGGTTCAAACATTTTTTTTAAAAAAGGCTTTGGTTATTAAGGGGTTAATACATGAGCGATTCATTTTAAGACGGTCACTAAAACAGAAATAATTACAGGTTTTTGAGCAGAGCAAAAAAAAACTGAACATAGGTGCCCTGTTCTGATAAAAAAAAAAAAAAAACCATTAGGTTATTCTTACATTCTAGCCTTAGTTTATCTGTTTGAACTTCAAGCCAGCATTTCATCAGCATGCCACTGAAGACAGTAGCAGATAAATTTGGGCTGTTTTTGATGTCAATCAGCTTGTTTTCATGGTTTGGTAGCTCAGAGTCGCATGTTAAGTGTCATAGCAAGCTGTAGTCTGCTTCATTGCACAATGTAATTTTAGTAGAGTAACAGATGTTTATATTCCATTTTCAGTGATGAGATCAAGAACATTTTATGTGTTCAGACAAAAACATGGTATTAAAAAGCTGACAGATATCATTGTACAAAACAACCGTGGCACCTTCACATTACTGAATAAATCACAGAGCTATCAGTAAATACACTTCTCTATGGTTTTATTTGTTGATATTCAGGAAGTGGGCCATTCGCTAAACATAGATTTCTTCATAGACTCTAGCAGGGATTAAAGCTCCTCCACATTGGCTAATGGCTATATACACCCCCTTCTATAATTGGCTCTTTCCTGTTCCCCTGCAGGCCTCCTATTGCTTAACGTATCCTCCCTCCAAAGGTCCACAAAATTAAAGTGCAACTATGCTTCTATGGAGACAGTCTTGGGATAAATAGAGAAATGTTCAAGTCATGGAGAGGATGTTGAGCCTGTCTCCCTTCAGAGAAGATGATAGTCTAGTGGGCTAGAGGAGAAGATGCTATTACACTTACATTCCTTCAACATTGGCCACAAGTCTGAGGTCCTGAGCCTCTTCTGAAGAGAAGATCAGGGTACAGATTGACTGATACCCCCTTTCAGCCGTAACCAAGCAACCAGATACTGACAATTTCAGTCATGTGATTAGCACTGAAGGGATTCTATAGTGACATTTTCTCCAGGGCGAGTAAATAGTTCACCTCTTCACAAAATCTTTTGTGTTAATTCTAGCAAGACTGGTAACATAACTTTAACGTTTCAGTTTACGTCCACTTTATAAGCTGCCGAGCATTAGCAATCCTCACTGCATTGCGATACAATAGTATTCCAACCCAACTGACCAAAAAGAAATGACAAGTAGATAAGGCAGTGCATTTAATAAAAGAGCAGGCTTGCATGTCAGTTGGCAAGATGAAGAAAATTATTTTTCATATAAAAGCTTAGTAGTGTTAATTGTCATTCCTTGCCGTGTAGAACTGCAACTCTGCCCAAGCTGATTGAAAACAATATGTTTGTGGGTAATTGGTTTTACCTCAGAGGTTGTTCAGTGGGAGCACAGATCATGCTTCCCGACTTAGATAGCCACAATAGGGAGAAACTACAAATTGAATTAAATACAGTCGTGAAAATTGTGAAAGTCACTTTTAGGGTCCATTCACACCATCTGCAATTGGAGCTGCTCTAGCCGTCGTTTCAAGCTCAGCCGCAATGCAAGACAAGGCAATTTGCCGTAGTGGTAGGAACACGGTGCTGTGCGCTGAAAAAAGTAAGACATGCCTTATGTTTTTTCAAAGCAGCAGGATGCGACTTGGGTACAACTGTCTCGCATCCCGGTGTGCCTGTAGAACAGTGGTTCTCAACCTGTGGGTCGCGACCCAAAAGTGGGTCGCAAGCCACAGTTGAGGGGTCGCCATGTGCCTTGTGTTTTGCTAGGTAAAAGACTCCTTAGCCTCCTCCTAGCGCAGCAGTGGCAGTTCTCCTAGATGGCGCTGCAGCAGCGGCGCCCAGAGGGGATCTGAGAGAGGGGAGCAGGCAGGAGTGCCTATCACCAAAGAGCCACACTGTGCACCACAGAGCCTGCACTGGGCGCCACCAGAGAGTCCCACTAGCTACCTGAGAGCCCGCATAGCCTCCTGAGAGCCCCCACAAATACTAATATTGGTGCATCCCTAAATTTTACCGTTGGGGGTCACCACAACTTGGCAAATGTTACCAAGGGGTCCCGGCGCTAGAATGGTTGAGAACCACTGCTGTAGAACTAAATGAAATTTAACTTGTGACATTTTAATACATTTCTAACCAAAAAAAACTAAGTACACAGGGCAACGCACTGGGATCAGAGCTTCGGCACTGTTCCGAGGCACCGTGTGAAATTAGTGCAGCGCCTGGTGTGAATGGGTCCTAAATGTTAAAGGATAATTAAAGCCTCTGGTTTTTTTTTGGCATAGATCTACTGCTAGCAAGCAGTAGATCTATGCAAAAAATGTTAAAAAAAACAAACACTTCAACAGAGGTTAATACTCACCTGTGTCTTCCCCGCACGCTCCCGTCCGAAAATGTGAAGATCCTAGGGCGGCCACAAAGCATCTTGGGACGGGTGCATGCGCAGTTCACATTTTCGGCCGGGACGCGAGGAGAGACACAAGGTAAGTCTATGGACGCGTGCACCCGCATGCAGACTATGTGGGACAGTAAGTGCCAGCAAGGACAGAGGGGTCAGCCCTGGATCGGAGACCCACCGCAGCGTTGGAGGGACAGATGAAAATGACAGGAAAGAAGATCAGATTAAGAAACCTCATTTAAGGTAAGTGCTTTCATAAACATTGGGGGAGGGGGAAAAAATTGACTTTAATGTCCCTTTAACTACAAGGAATTTTGCAGTAACAATTGCTGAGAATACTTTGTAGATTTCCTTTAGATGTTTCTCTGTGTTGCTCATTAGAGACTGTTGCAGATCTGTTTTGATTGTAGCAGATTTGTATAGAAAATAACATGATTGCACTGTTGTGTAAGAACAGGTTCTTCTCTGCCAGAGAGCAAATTCCAGCGGCACCACCCCTGTGACAGGTGACATCGGATACTACTGGCCATGTTGTTTCAGATGCTGACGTAGTTTTCAAGGTTATCTAGGCACAGTTTTTAAGCGGGTTTTGTTTTTTTACCATCTGCAAAGAAATGTAGTTGCTGAGTGATCTAAATCTTATTTCTTTGTCAGTAATCTTGACAGGTTGGCCTGTTGCTGTGAGTAAGCATAGTTAGATCAGATAAGGATTTGGTTTAGGCCCATTCAGTCTGTCAA